GCAGATTTGTGTATGAGGAATATGAAAAAGAATCAATGATGATATATGCCTGGTAGTTCTACATTTAGCTATGTATGAGCTCTCTGGAGAAGTGTTGCAAAACTCAAGGACTTTAGATGACACAAAATAATTTTTATAAACAATGATGTCTAAAAGGAAATTAAATTTTATTGTAAAATGTATTTTTACATATTTTTTTAATACACATCAAGTTCAAAACATTAGACCTTGCACAAATCCACATTTAATGGGTTTAAGATAAAACCAATGAGAGCCTGAATCACATGATTATTATCCTAGTTTAAATTAAAGTCAAAATAAATTGTACATAATTAGATATTAATCACACAATACTTAGTGAAATGGTACATTTTTTATTTAAATGTCCCTGATCTACAGCTGTACCCAGCAACAGGGCATTTTCTATCACATTCTTGGAAAGCAAAGCCTGAAAAGATCACAATTCTAAGTCTAAACAACACAGGCTTATGGTGATAAACATCTGAAACAATTATATTGAGGAAAGAATGTGTTCTAATCTATAATTATAAATTGTTTGAAAATTCACAAAGGGATTGGAAAGAACATTTTGTGTGCTCACATTATCCTAATACACTTTGCCACACAAAACCCAATGGAATAGAAAGTACCATAGTCACTAAATGGCTCAAAGCCATCTTTTGAGTTAAGGCTGGCATTCTGTATATAAACCTTTGTCCAGTCTATTAACAAAAGAAAACTTGACATATTCCCTTTTCTTATACCAATATTGGCCAGTTACTCATTTAAATAACATGAACACTTAATAGGCCATTTCCGAGTTACCTTGTACCTCTGTTTCAAAATAAGTCCTCGTGCAAAACCTCTCATAGGAAAATGAGTTTGATTTGCATGAATATGACCCTATAGGGGGAACTCATTACGATATGAATGGTTTTATACGAAGTTAACAAATCGAATGTGGTTCAGCATGGTCTGTACTCTTAACAACAATGATACACATCATCACAGTGGTCAAAACGTTGTGGACTCAAGAGGTACAGTCAAGTGAGTCCACAACAAATTTTGACCATTGTGATGACGCATATTGTTGTCAATTAGAGTACAGACCACGCTAAACCACATTTTGATTTGTTTTTACCACAATATCAACGTCAAAGAAAATGTTTTTTTCAGAGCGCGAGCTGAAAAAGGCATTGCGTGACACATTGACGCCAGCAGCTTTGACTGGACTCTTATTGCCCTCGGCAAATTAGCCAATCAGATTACGAGATTAGTAGCAATTGTGGTAAAATATCATTTTAACACAGAGGCAAAAGGCAATTTAGAAATGGCTTACTGTTCCACAAAAAACTACAGGAATCCTTTTAATTAACTAGTATATGGGAGCTTTCAGATGTGCTGCATGATCATTTTATGGCAGTCATAATTGCAATCCATCTTAGTTACAAGCATTGCTGTGTACAGGCTGTGTGGAATCCTATGATGAGCCAGATGATGAGGAAAAGGCATGAAGATTCCCCATCTGACTCAGACCAGACTGAATGTGAGCTACATGGATCTCTACATTGTTCTGAAAACAGCTGCAACACAAACAAAACAGCAATCACTTTTAACATCACTTTATCATTGAATTAACTCGATACACTTATTTTTATCATTCCTTAAATTACAGTCAAACCTCTCCACAACAGAGGAAAGGTAGAGAGGTGGCCGATGTGGGGAGTTAGGGGTTTGTTTATCTTTTTCCTTTTTCTTTTTTTTTTTCCACAGGGTATAAAATTTTTATCCTTAAAGGGGCTCATTCACGGTTTGTGGATATTGAAAAGCTTAGCCTCAATTTTTCAAATTTATTGTTTGTAATCCATGTTAATCTTCTCCATCCTTAGCCATCCTTGTTCCTGTATGGTTTATCATTATCTTTTTGGTGTTTTTCTATCTTATTAAACTGTTATTTTCAGGTTTCCTACCATTGAAAGGTAGTTTTCTATGTGGCCAAAATAACTCAAAATACTATGACTGAGCCCCTTTAAACAATGCTTATTGTAGCATGTAAAACTAAGTAATTAACAAAATCAAAATAATTTCTATCAATAAAACAGTTCTAAACCAAACAGAAACAGAGCAATGCATGTGTCATGTTGTTAGAATCTCAAATTAATACTAAAATAACTCTGCCTTTCTTAGCCTGCTGCTTGTGGTGGTCTGCAAGTTGTGAAAAATGTTCAGGTATGTAGCACTGTTAAGTCACAAAAGCCAGAAATCTCAGCTTACAGTCAATTTGTCAACAGTCAGCTCTGAACTGGAAATAAACACAGGGTAGTAACTTCAGATCGAGTGACTGTACCTGATGTTTGAAGGGTCTATGCTTTTCTTTATTTCATCCACTGCATCAGATAGTGATTTGAACTCGAATGTGTTGAGATCATTCTCAGCTAAGGACTACAAATAACGACAAAAATAAAGCAGTGAGTCAAGGGTTAAAAAATGACCTGGCCACATTACAACAGTGTTAAAAATAAAACAAGTTCCATGCAAAACTAGTCAGAAGACGTCTATATAAAAATATGACCATAAAAAAACTGCACAGTATGCAGACCAGGTCAAGTACTTGCCACAGACTGAAAACAAATAATTCTGTGACAAGACTGACAGTTGTTGTCATATGCATGTGGCTTACCTTGATTTGCAGCATGAGAGAAGTTAGACTACTGACAATATGTATCAATGGCTGGCTTGTAATTGCATTCCTGAAGAACATCAAGAAAATAATGTGTTACTCTACTGAGCAATGGGGATGTCAGATTTAAATTACCCATAAACCAAGTTGAACAAGGTTATTTAATGATGATGAACAAAATTTAACCTTAAAAATAATGAAGCTAGTAAAAATTGTTTGTATGGATTTAATTACATACAGGCCCATAGTTGCATTATTTTCTTCCACTACTCTTGTGGCCTCCTTATCACATCTTCTCTTCACACTAGTAGACTGATCCATGGATTGAACTCCTTGTTCAGGGGCAAGCTGATGTACAAAGCCAATGAAACAAAATATGTCTTCAGTAAGTTTAGCGTAAGGCCAAACTGTTTTATCTGCATTGAATACATTGAAACTTAATTCTAGAACTCAATAATAGTACTTCATCAAGTTTAAGCAAAG